TTCAGGTCCTTACCACAGCAGCCAACACCGAAATATCACGGATTTGTTAGTAATCCAATACACAACGGGGAATACACTTATCAGCACTGTCATACTGATAAGAAATAATTACCAGTGAAAGCAGGAGAAATTATCTTAATTGTTTCTATAATCTGGGGTCAAGTTAAACATAAATAATCCAGGATCAGGTGCAAATGTTTTCAGTTTTATTCATTTGTAAAAAGTTCAGAAAAATGGCAGAAGGGTAAATAGATGATTATATGTGTGCAAGATGTCTTAGAACAATTGTTTGATGATGAAAAAATGTATAATTCTAGTTCAAGTTCTAGTGACACTGATAATTATTTTCATCAGTCAGAAAATGAGCAGGAATACATTAAGGATTTATTACATAATTAGCTTAATAATTTTAGTACATTTTTACATTTCTAATGATATTTGTAATCAATTTAAAAATTTAAATTCAATGAAATAAATTTTTTTTATATAATAGGTTTAAATATCAAATAATAATAATAAGGTATAACAGAGGTTAAAATCACCTTACCCCGATTAACCTTAACTACATAAATTAATTCGGCACTGCAAGTAGTAAGCAGTGGTAGTTTACTCGGCATGATAAGGGTCAATATGCTATAATTTCATTTCATTGTTTACAAAACGGATATTTTCTTAGCTACAAGAAATGATTATTATGGCATTGTTATGCAAGCATATTTTGGTAATTAAGACTTAGGAATAACATAATTTTGCACGTTATCCAGTTTTATTTCGGCCGAGTATCTTTTTAAAAGATACTTCATGTTCTATTTATGCAGGATTATTATGGAATGCCGGTAGGGACATGCCAATTTGCTAATTTGTCAATTGCTGAATTGCTTATTTGCTAATTGCCGATTTGCTTATTTGCCAATGGCTGATAGTCTTAACGACAAATTTGCTTATTTGCCAATTCGTCGCCCTATTCTAAAAATGGTGTATCTACAATTTCCTCTTTTTTGGGAAAAAGGGGTTAAAGGTTCAAGACGTTGTAACTTTTATTTAATAACTCCTAACAGTGTGGACTTCTGGATTGGTATTATAGATGTCAACATGTGATGAAAGCACTTTGTTATATACCTTTATAAGTTGCAGTAATTGTAAAAATTTAAAAAAAAATTTGGAGATAGACCAAAAATGTTTATTTTTAGATTAAAAAATTACTCTAAAAATGAGTTTGCGGAGATATGACAAAGTAAGGCTAAAATTGTAAATACTTTTTGAGTTAGCATTTTTTAAGAGTAATAATTTTACTATAGAATATTAGTAGATTTTTACATTCTAAAGAACATTTTCAGCCAGAGTGGTTGAACCGCTGAAACTGAATCACTTTATCTTCGTAAATTACTATGTCAAATTGTAAATTCATTCACGTGATCTCCAACGTGGGCCTTTCTCGATAATAACAATATAAAATTGTGCCATAAAAAAGAAAAACAAACATTTTACAAAAATTTTAATCAATGAACTTGCTAAAACAAACTGACATATTTTGAACCATGATTATGAAAAATGAAATGATTGTAACCATATCTAATATTGTGATTAAATGATACAGATATAAATTATATTACCATTTCATTTCATTTCATTTTATTGGCAAATCGGCAAATAAACATTACCTTTGGCCATTAACAGAGTATCATGAAAAATATGGCCAAAAGTTAAATAGTTACAAACATTACATCATACAATATATAACAAAAAGAGAAAAAGAATGAAACTAATTAAGAAGCAGTTACATCTTCAAGAGACTGTTGCCTCAACTTAAATGCATTATGAACATAGTGAGCACATTTAAGAATAAGCTTTTTGTTATTAGTGGACAATATAGTCGAAAAATTTTGTATAGTAGGCCATGAAATGTTTCCTAAATATTTGGTTCTTATAACAGTATAAATTGGACAACATAAAAGGAAGTGGTATTCTGATTCAATAGAGTTATATATACATAGTTTACATTTGCCATCGTTTCTATCAATGCTAAAATGTTACCAATAATTCTTTTTAATTCACACAATTAAAGTCAATACCACATGCATTCAAAGTCTCAAGTATTGTTTGTGATTTAATATCAACGTATGAAAAAATATCTGCTCAAGTTCTTAACAATCTTTCAAGATTGCCAAATCGTCGTTTTCAAGATTTTACATCCAGTGAATTTTGCGATCTCCCATATTGGTTTTTGTCGCACAACGTAGATACTGGACATTTCATGAACAGGCTAAATCAAACCGAGCCGGCAATATTTTAGATCATGCCGTATTGTGCTTTAAGAATTCTGCTATTATCTAATAAATATAATCATTGATGACCCGGAGAACACTGAAACTCGTATGCAAACTTAAAATCTATGTTTTGACAAGACAGTGGTATTCCGATCCCATTGGAATGTTAAATATCTATTTATTTTGTGAATATTTTAAGACTTTAAACAATGATTTATCTGAAACTGATGGCAAGTCAAAACTTCCCCACAGATTTGATGTTGTTGATATAAAATTCCATAGTTTTGTGGAAGTTCTGCTAACTGCAGTCAAAAGTTCTAAGAGACAACATTTCTGTAAGGACAACGTCTGATAATGTAAGTAAGTCTGACCTGAAATGGACAAAATATTATCATTAACAGTTAAACAACAACAATGTTCGATACTCCAAATAGTTCCAAATAGTTCATACGAATATCCGAATATAGTTATCCGAAACTATGTGATTGTGAAACTTTGAGAAATATATATAAAATAATGATAATACTATGAAACAAATACTAATACAAAATATAAATTCACTTATAAAACGTATAAAAGCTAAAATATATTACTTACATGCTTCAGAAATCATTTTTAACTGTTACTTTCCTAGTTAACTGGCTGATTTAGATACGATTGTTGTTGTTATCACTGGAGTTAGAACAATTATATTGTCAGGCCCCTTCAGGTCACATGACATATATTTTTCAACTTGATTGGCTGGCACGAAAGATTAGCCTAAAAGTGTTACATGTGTTGGAGATACGACGAAAAAAGGCTAACAGCAAAGCTTTCCATTGGACATAGAACAAAATACAGACGCTATATCTACAAAAGTATGACGTAAATCTTCACAAGTTTTGTTTTGGAGATAGAAAAAACTAATACTAAAATAAATGTGCAGTTATCTCATTTTTGGTAAAAATGGAGTTAGGACAATTTTAGAATAAGGCGACGAATTGCTGAATAGCTAATTTGCTTATTTGTTAACCGCTGGATTACGTATTTGCTTATTTGCCAATTGCTAATTTGCTTTTTTGCAATAGAAATACTTTACACTGTGCCGGAAAGATATGGAAAATCTGACTACAGACAACAAGTTGAGTCAGATCTGTTAACTTTTACCAACAGTATTCTTGTAAATTCAGTGTTTTTTCAAGACTACTGTTGATCTATGAATTTAGTTGCAGTGATGCCTACGCAGATTTATGTCTACAGCTGATGGCTGACATGTCCTTGAGAACACAGACGTTTTGGGTCTGATCCCGTACCCCAAAGTGAAACATGCCCCTGTAAACACTCATTTTAAAATATTTTAATATTTAAACACGAATTGGACATCGTTAAAACTGGTTTCAAGCAATTTTTACATATACCGGTATGAAAAAATACCATATACCACCAATTAAGTCTCAATAATGGTTTTATCGTTGTAACAAATGTCCAATTCGTATTTAATAAATATTAAAATAATTTTGATATAGTGTTTACAGACGCGTATCACGTTAGGGGCAGGATGTAACCCGCCAGCATCTGTGCTTGAGCCTGCCTTATAACGTGTTGCAGCTATAGATCTGTTTGTGCAGCTTAAGTCAGAGATTGATGGCATAATAAACACTTGATTAGTCATATATAAGTGAACATTATTGGGTAAAGATTGAAAATAAAAGAACTTGAAAACAAAACTATTTCTTATTTTATGGCATATAAAATGTCGTTATTCTCAGCAGATTTGTCGCAGAGGGCCTCATTTTAGTGGTACGAACACATAGTATCACAAATGATACATTTGGTACATGCTTAACACGGGTGTTTGTCTTTGCACTTAAGCAATAGGCTGCGTTTTTGGCTTTGTAAGATTTTGAGATCACTTATGTCTGTTTGTGCATCAACATTTTGCTTTGGTTTAATGTTTTTGAAATTTGGTCACACTTTTCCATTTTTTCATATTGTACATTTTACATGCTATCATGTGACCATGGCCATGATCATGACCTAGGGTATAATGGACAAAGCCTCTTTGAATATTGTGTATGCATGCTGCCTATTTAATGCTTATTTGAAGTTACAGTTAGATATAAGCAAAAGTAACAGAGATATGACAGAAAAACAAAGGCTTCTCAGTACAATACATTGGTGACCTTAACATTCAGTATATAACGGGCACAGCTTCTTCATGTACATGTACTTTGTATGCATGCTTGTGACGCAAAGTTTATGCAAAGTTGCAGTAAGATGCATGAATCAGCAAAAGTAACAGAGATATGACAGAAAAACAAGTTACCAAGAAAACCAATGCATTGGTGGGTAGAACAGCATCCCTATTCTCTGAATAGTGGAGCTAAAACTGAAACTCAAGATAATTAAAAAAACAACTACTTTCTGAAACTGAATTTATTTTTTTCGAAATTGATTAAAATGTATCCATCTGTCTTTCTACCTATATTCTAGGTAATGATGGATTGATCCTAATTGTCACAAGTTATAATTAACAAAACTTTATAAACATAATAACATGATATAGGTTCATGAGCTTGAAATAAAGACTACAAAGACTTTAGCATAAAAATATATATATTTAAGCAAATAAGCAATTAGCAAATTGGCAAATCAGCAAATAAGCAAATTGGCAAATCAGCAATTAGCAAATAAGCAATTAAGTAGTTGGCAAATAAGCAAAGTGGCATGTCCCTACCGGCATTCCATAGGATTATATTTAGTACCACGAAACCTATTGTATGCGGAACAGGAAATGAGAAAGCAAGGGGAGTTACTCTTATACATTTCCGGCTGTCAAAAAAATCGGGAAAAATGGTAAACACGGAAAATGTTTGAATAAATGAATTTTACAGGGAAATACAAGGATAAACGATGGAGAAACTTAAACAGCGTCTTGGCAAGAACAATGCAATCGACAATGTATTAAATGACAGACATGTTGATGATCAGGAACAAGAATTAGCAGATGACACCGACGCATTCACAAATTCAGCATCCAGTGAGCTCGAGGTGGACATTTCATTACGACTCAAGTTGTCAGAATCTTCAAATAGTGTCCATGAGAAAAGTATCATTATTTGTATCAATTTTTGCACGTAGCTTTCAAAAGATTCGATTATAAGTTAATATATACCCTTATAAGCTTCATGCATCAATAATGTTTAGATTATCATATTATAATATGAAATTAGGCAAAGCCTATGGACGGGGAAGTCGTTAAAAATTCCTTTCATTCTTTCCGTTTTAAAGGTGTCATTCGGTATTACATGTACCGCTTCCGTTTTCATTCGGAACACTCGGCGATTATCATTATCCTAAAAGTGGAGATTTGTTCCGTTATCGGAATACCCCGCCATTTATCATTGAGTTACATTGTAAATGGCGGCGCCCGACTAGAACTGACACTGAAAATTTCTTTGATAGGTATAGAATTTTATATATTTTTTAATTGTTTTTTTATGTGATTTTCTTTTAAATATACACGTGTAGTCTATAGCCGGGCAAGCCAAAGCCCGGACCCGCTTCGCGGGCCCGGTCTTTGACTTCCCCGTATAAAAATTAGAGGGGCGTCCATGGCCGAGTGGTTAAGGTCTTTGACTTCAAACCACTTGCCACTCACCACTGTGGGTTTGAATCCTGACAGGGACTTTGGATTCTTTCATGTCAGGAAGCTATCCAGCTAGCTTAAGGAACGTTGGTTGTTCTACTCAGGTGCCTGTTTGTGCCTGAAATAATGCACAGAAAGTCTTCCTCCACCAGTAAAGCTGGAACGTCTCGATATCACCTATACTGTGTCGATGTGAGGTAAAACCCAAAACAAACAAACAAACAATAAAAATTAGAATTGGTTACCTCGGCTATATACCCTAAATACCTACTGGTCTGGGACCATCAACCAGACACTTTTTGAATATTTATCCATACAAATTTCATAATTTTAAAGCTAGAGATCTAAAAATTTGACATATTACAGCTAGGTTCTTCTCTTTCTGAAAAACTAGTTTATTTATATGTGGGCACTTTTATTTGAGGCCTGTCAAGGATGGTATCAAAACTACCTAAATTGTCCACACTACAGTACCATGTGTCCGGGCAAATATGTACATGACGTTGATTTAATCCAAATAAAAGCTTGGGTGTTTTTATGTTATTTTTTTTAAATGATATACAGTATTTCAGAAGCATTTCAACAGAAAATGCTGAAGTTTTGGACAATATATATTTTACTTTGCAAATGATTGTAGCTAGTATAAGAGCATTTTAAGATCATATTAATACCTAAGATAAAATAAATTTAATTACTTATTTATTGAAGAAACTTGCATTTAGTGTTGAAAACAAAGTGACTGATAGAACAACAACCACTGGACAAAGAAAAACACTAAACATGCATTTTTGGGGTCGTCAAGGTTTGGTGGTTGTCCAGTTTTGGAAGTCCCCGACCAATTGGCTTGGATATATCAGAAAGCCTTACATGGGATGCCCACATTAACAGGACATCCAAAAAAGCAAACCAAACCTTAGTATTCCGATGTAGAACCATAAATGTTAAATCACAGTCCATCAAGACCATTGTTTACCAGATGTTAGTCAGACCATAGCTTGAATATGGTTCCACACCAAGTTACAAATAGATCAAACCTCTAGCATTATGGACATGCTTCACACCCTTAAGCTGCAAAAAGTGGTACTTAGACGTAAAGATGCTAGGTTATTCCCTTTTCTATATGATTCACCATGATCTTGTTGCTATCCCCATAGAAGAATATGTGACGCCCCACTCTCAAACATCACATCATGGTCATCCCTTATGTTATAGGTTATTCACAGCAACTTCAGACTATTACAAATTCTCTTTCTTTCCTAGGATGGTCCAGAGCTACAGATAAGCAGGGTATCTGCGTAATAACCCAATTATTTTGACCAATTTACCCAATTATATAAAATCTTTGAGTAATAAAAAAGCAAATCAAAGGCTCAGTACCCAATTTGTTTGGATTCTGTAGCGTATTTCCAATAACTCGGACCCTAATTCACCTGGCGAAAACAGCCAAACAAATCTGACAACATAGCCTGTTTCCCTTTCTGTACTTTCATTATCCATTTGTTTACTGAGTAGACTGATTATATAAATATCGATATTTTTTAACGAAAAAGCTTATTTTTTGAAGAGATAATTACATTGTAGCCCAGACTGAGGTCAATTTCGAGGAAGTGGTGAAAAAAATCTAATATTCCAGTGCAGTCTTGCAAAACACTTTTTATTTAGTTAATTTACTTAAAGGATGTTGTGAGAAATTCTTTTTAGCTTAAAAAAATCCTACATCAATTTCTAATTAAGGTTAATCTACACAAATAAATAATCTTTTCAATGATACCCAATTTTGTTTCTGTGTTACCCAATTGTGTGTCAAGTCCAGGGGTAAATATCCAATTAACTCAAAAGCTTATCTGTAGCTCTGGATGGTATACCACTGAAACCACCTACCCCTTGCCATTGCCCTGCTCCCTACCCCAGAGCAGTTCAGTGCAACCATAGCTTGCATTGAACATGTCTCATCCTAGTTTTCCAGCCCCCTGTTTTTTAAACCATTATAGCCATTAAGGATTCTCCTCAAAATAAAGAGAACAAAAAAGTTGTCACACTTATCAATGGTGCCAGTAAGGTAATTCACAAGCTCCAAACAGTACCTTTCTTTAGAAATTGCTGTTTCAATATTCCATTCATTTCCAGTAAAAATATTTATCTGAATGTTTACTAGAGTCTAGATTGGTCTTCTGTTGGTTGAAGCTAAAAAATTGTGCATATCTTTAATCAATACAAACATCTTAAGTGTGACGTAAGAAGCTGCTGCCCTGACAAAAGATCAAATGGACATTGTTTTCCACTTCTTCAATATCCTAGTTGATTATTCCCAGTACTGAATTGCACAGTCAAGTTAAGTTTTTCACCAGGTGAAATACCCTTTTAGATAAAAACTAAATGATCAATAAAAGATTTGTGATCGTAGATCCTGCAAATTGCCGTACATGCCATAACGTCCTGGACGTCCAGGGTTGTCCCCAAAATAAGCTATCTGTCCCGGAGATGATATGTCCCGGTAAAAATAAAAATCTATATTAATCTACTTTGCAGTTAGAAATTTAACTGCACAAATAATTATCAAGCATAATTAGCAATTACTAAACTATAGAGTTTTATACATGTCTATTTTCTTGCAAATCTGAGCAATAGATGATGTACTGGTCAGGGTAAGGACTCAATCACTACATAATTGCTTAGGCACAAGTAACTTATTACACTTTAACAGCAATAATTGGTGGTATTGTCCTGGGATGATATTTTTTTGGTCTTAAGAGTACTTTGGAAAGTCTATTAAAGGGTAAGTCTAAATAACAGTACTTGGGATATTTTTTTTAAGGATAAATCTTGCCTATTCAGTATTGCACTATCTAGGTACATGCAAATTTGGTGTTTTGCGTGGTGTTTTATTTAAGAGACTGAATACTGCCTTGCCTATTTATCACATTGTTATTAATCTTTGTTATTGTAAACAAAGGCACAAGTTTTCATCCTGGGACAATATACTTCTACTGTACAACTTAAGATTTGTTTCCTTACTAAGGAAAATATATGAATGTTATGACTGATTGACACAAGGAAGAAATAATTAGTTTTATAATATACACTTTATTTTGAAGTTTTCTTGTATTTTTTTCCAATAAAGTTTGATTGATCAGTAAAATAAAGTGAAAGTAAAGAGAAAAAAAAAGAAGGAAAGAATTAATTAAAAAAAAATTAAATTAAATAACTTGAATTAATATTTCGAATTGCAAATTGACTTTAATTGACTACTTGTTTCAGATTGTAGTGGTGTTTACAATGAGGAATCAAAAGAAATTCATGTACCAGATTTTGACAGTGAAAATCCCATGAGTGGGCGGACAGTTTTTGAAATTATCTCCACTGACACAATCAAAGATGGACATTCTAACTTTGTGGTAATTTTATATCCATTGAGTAATTATACCCCCGCACAACAAAGTTGTAAGGGGGTATACTGAAATCAGCTTGTCTGTCTGGCCGTCCAGCTGTCCATTGGTTTTTAGCTCGACTATACGAAGTATATGGAGAGCTGTCCTACTCGCCCCGGCGTCGGCGTCCGCGTCCAGATTTTAGATTAAAGTTTTGGTGCAGTAAAATATTTTTCACTATAACTTTGTCATTTCTTAAGGTATCAACTTCAAACTTCAAATATATGTTCCTTATCATCAACCACATCTTATGTGACAAGGTTCATAACTCTAGCACCAATATTTACAGATTTATCTCCCCTTGAACTTAGAATTTTCCTTAAAAAATACTATTTCTAACTGTTTCTTCTTTATTTCTTAAGGGATCAACCTCATACTTCAAATATATTTACCTTATCATCATCCCCATCTTATGTGACAAGGTTCATAACTCTAGCACCAATATTTTCAGATTTATCTCCCCTTGAACTTAGAATTTTCCTCAAAAAATGCTGTTTTTTACTGTTTCTTCTTTATTTCTTAAGGGATCAACCTCATACTTCAAATATATTTACGTTATCATCATCCCCATCTTATGTGACAAGGTTCATAACTCTAGCTCCAATATTTTGAGATTTATCTCCCTTTGAACTTAGAATTTTCCATAAAAAATATTATTTTTTACTGTTACTTATTTATTTCTAAAGGGATCAACTTCATACTTCAAATATATTTACGTAATCATCATCCACATCTTATGTGACAAGGTTCATAACTCTAGCACCAATATTGCAAGAATTATCTCCCAATAAACTTAGATTTTTTTACTAGAAAAATGTTATTTTTTATTATAACTTTTTTATTTTTAAAGGTATCTACCTCAAACTTCAAATACTTATTCCTTATCATCAATTACATTTTATGTGACAATGTTCATAACTCTAAAAGCAATGTTTACAGATTTATCTCTCTTTGAACTTAGGATTTTCTTTAAGAAATATGATAACTTCTTTACTTTTTAAGGTATCTACTTCAAACTTCAAATATATATTTCTTATCATTACACAAATGTTGTGTGAAAAGGTCCATAACTCTAGCATGACTATTTCTAGAATTATTCCCCTTGATCTTGGAATTTATGTTAACAAATGTTATTTTTTTTACTATAACTTAATACATAATTATACATAATTGATTTTTCTTTCATAGTTTTGTCCTCCTTACTGCGTCCAGTATTTTATTAGTCGAGCTTCGCTGTCTCCTGTGACAGCTCTTGTTGCTTGTCCCCCCAATAACTTAAGATCCCTTTGACCCACAGTCTTCATATTTGGCATTCAGGTTAGTCATGATTATTCTATGACCCTTATTGATTTTCAGGTCAAGGGTCAAGGTCACAGGGGCCTTGACTTCAAAATGTTTGTCCGCTAAATAATTTAAGATTCCTTTGACCCTGAGGCACAGTCTTCATATTTGGCATGCAGATTAGTCATGAGTAGTAGATGATCCCTATTGATTTTGAGGTCAAAGGTCAAGGTCACAGGGGTCTAAACTTCAAATGTCTGCCCAATAACTTAAGATTCCTTTGACCCACAGTCTTCATATTTGGCATGCAGGTTAGTCATGATTAGGAGATGACCCTTACTGATTTTGTTGTCACCTGCTCAAAGGTCCAAGGTCACACGGGCCTTTAATGAAAAAAATTTGCCCCCCCCCCCCCAATAAATTAAGAATTCCTTTGACCCCACAGTCTCTCTTATCTGGCATGGAGGTTAGTCATGACTAGTAGATGACACATTATTGATTTTGAGGTCACCAGGAAAAAAAGGGCACAGGGGCATTGACTGAAAAAGCTTGTCCCCCAAATAACTTAAGATTCCTTTGACCCACTCTTCATATTTAGAATGGCGGCTAGTCATGATAAGATGATGACCCTTATTATGTCCCCACTTCGAAGAAGAGGGGTATATTGCTTTGCACTTGTCGGTCCGTCCGGTCCGTCAGTCCGTAGACCAAATAGTTTCCGAGTGATAACTAAAGAACACTTAGGCCTAGGAACTTCAAACTTGGTATGGTGATTGGTCATGACCAGTAGATGACCCCTATTGATTTTGGGGTCAAGGGGTCAAAGGTCAAGGTCACATTGACCTTGTATGTAAAAACGGTTTCCGATCAATATCTTAAGAATGCTTATGCTTAGGAACTTCAAACTTGGTATGATGATTGGTCATGACCAGTAGATGACCCCTATAGATTTAGGGGTCAAAGGTCGAAGTCACATTGACCTTGTATGTTAAAACGGTTTCCGATCAGTAACTAAAGAATGCTTAGGCCTAGGATCTTCAAACTTAATATGGTGATTGGTCATGACCAGCAGATGACCCCTATAGATAATTGGATCAAGGGGTCAAAGGTCAAGATCACATTGACCTTGTCGGTAAAAACGGTTTCCGATCAATAACTAAAGAACCCTGAGGCCTAGGAACTTCAAACTTGATACGATGATTGATCATGACCATTAGATGACACCCCTATTGATTTAGGGGTCAACGGGTCAAAGGTCACATTGACTTTGTAGGTAAAAACGGTCTCCGATCAATAATTAAAGAACCCTTAGGCCTAGAGACTTCAAGCTTAATAAGATGATTGGTCATGACCAGCAGATGACCCCTATAGATTTTGGGGTCAAGGGGTCAAAGGTCGTAAAAACGGTTTCCGATCAATAACTAAAGAACCCTGAGGCTTAGAGACTTCAAACTTGGTAAGATGATTGGTCATGACCAGCAGATGACCCCTATTGATATTGGGGTCAAGGGGTCAAAGGTCAAGGTCACATTGACCTTGAAGGTAAAAACAGTGTCTGATCAATAACTTATGAACACTTAGGCCTAGGAATTTCAAACTTTGTATGATGATTGGTCATGATCAGCATATGACCCCTATTGATTTTGGGGTCAAAGGTCAAGGTCACATTGACCTTTTTGGTAAAAACGGTTTCTGATCAATAACTAAAAAAGACTTAGGCCTAGGTACTTCAAACTTGGTATGATGATTAGTTATGACCGGCAGATGACCCCTTTTTATTTTGGGGTCAAAGGTCAAGGTCATATTGACCTTTTAGGTAAAAAGGGTTTCCGATCAATTACTAAAAAAGGCGTAGGCCTCGGTGCTTAAAACTTGGTATGATGATTGGTCATGACCAGCAGATGACCCCTATTGATTTTGGTGTCAAGGGGTCAAAGGTCAAGGTCACATTGACCTTGTAGGTAAAAACGGTTTCCGATCAATAACTAAAGAACCCTTAGGCCTAGGAACTTCAAACTTGGTATGATGATTGGTCATGACCAGTAGATGACCCCTATTGATTTTAGGCTCAAAGGGTCAATGTCATAGTGATCTTGTACTTAATGACCGTTTCTGACCAATAACTCAACAACTCAAGTTGCCTTGGTTGATATTTTTATGTGCTTTTGGTATACACATTTGAAGGTCTTATGTAATATAATAACTTGGCTGTCATTAATGAGGCCTATGTGATTCATAAAATTTATGTATATATTATTTGGTAAGATTTTTAATAACTTAAATTGCTGCACACTACCTATGGGGTCACAACAATTATTACCTTGTGACTAGTCATGACCAGTAGATACTAGATAACCCTTGTTAATTGCTTGTTCACTGGGTCAGAAGAAATGAATAATAACCTGATCACTTGACAAATTGGCTGCCGATAGGAGGCATACATGTTTTACAAACATATCTTGTTTATTTAAGGTCCAAGATCAAGGTCACAGGGTCCTTGACTAATGATAAAAGCTTGTCCACCCAATAACCTTATTATCCTTTGACCCACAGTCTTCATATTTGGCATGGAAGTTTGTCATGATTAGTAGATGACCCCTATTGATTTTGAGGTGACCAGATCGAAGTTCAAGGTCACAGGGGCCTTTAGTTCAAAAAGCTTTTCTGTTCAATTGCATAAGAATGTTTTGCTCAACAGTCTTCATATTTAGTATTTAGGTTGGTTATTAGATGACACCTTTTGATTTTAGGTGACTGTGTTAAAGGTCAAGGTCACAGGGGCTTTTATTACAATACTAGTAAGATTTTCTGCTCAAATGCTAAAGAATGCCTGTCCAAAGGTTATTGAGTTTTACATTTTCACATTTGAACATATAATTTGTTCTCATATATTTATCATTAAACACCTCCAGGCAAAGCTGCATGAATGGGGGGAGTATTGAATTCATTCAGTGGCAGTTTCAGTTTTGCGGTCAAAGGTAAAGGTCACTTTGATCTTTGCCACTAAAACATGTGGAATACATATCTTATAAATGCACTGGCTTACTTCCCTCAGATTTGGCTGGGCGTTGTCTTTGAGCTCTAAATGACCACTGTTGAGTCTGACAAAGTGGTATGCCGGGGTATTCATGCCATGACTGTGGCAGTTCTAGTTTAAATCACCCATGATGAAAATATAGAACATGGTGTTATTTAAAGCAGCATGCATCCATTTTCATGCTTAATTTTTATGGAAAATTTTGAAAATGTATTTAAAAGCAAAATATTTTTAAGGTAACTAAGAATGCAATTTCCACATTGCAAGACATAAATCACCAAGAAGAAGTCAATGCAGCTTTAATGCAGCCATAAAGAAATAGATTTAGAGATGAAAGAACCAAACATAGATTATTTCATATAGATCGGGAAGTTTCAATACAATTTTGCCATTGATATTAGTAAAGAAATCAAATTTATTTAAAAAATTAATCACGCAAAAATACATGTTTTGAATTCTTTTTCTGCTATGTTTTTTATAGATATACAGGATTTTGCTCACTAAATCCTCGATAGTGGATCCAAACCCTGTTGTTGTTGAGAGACGTTACTCAGACTTTCAACTGCTTCATCAAAATCTTCATAAACATTTCAACGAACAAATGGACGTTATATCATTCCCAAAGAAAAGATTGTTTGGTAACTTCACGCCAAAAACTATAGCAAAAAGAAGTCGCGCTTTTGAGCAGTATCTTACGCATTTATATACCATTGACGAGATTCGATTTTCACAAGTATTTTTAGACTTTTTTTGTCTGGCCGATCTAAAAGAAGCTTACAACTCTATGTTAGATGTAGAATACGAAAAAGCAATCACTTGCTTCCAAAAGGTGCTACTTATTCAAGAGAAGATTTTAGGGTTTCTCAACCTGAAGATTGGCGAGACGTTGTGCGCGTTAGTTTCATGCTGTCAAACAGTCGAGGATGATATGATGGGATTGAAGTATGGGAGACAAGCGTTGAAGTGCTACGCAAATCATGAAGAGAACAAGTATTACCTCCCCTTGCTGCAGAGCTGCGTGCATTTATGCTGGAAAACTGGTGAAGATAAAGCCAAGTTAGAAGAAATATTAAATCAGAGAAAAAGAGACTCTAAGGATCTTCCTTCATTATTGTCTGTGGTTCACAGCTCGGTTATTTTATGAGAAAGATTGTCATGTATTTATAGATATCTATTGTATTGCCATTTTTGTCTCAGTTTTTACACTTTTATATAAAACTGGTAATTTTTAATGGTTGCTACTTTTTACACTTTTTTATATCTACATGTATTCTATTGGGCAATTAGCTGACAGTTTCTTTGTTGATATGAGCTTTAAATTTACAGTATAAGCTTTTTTAATGCTGTGAAAAAGAGCCTACAACATATCAAATTCATCATTACTTCATCTGTCTTTCCATTCTTACCATCTCTAGCTTTATCCAAATTAATCCATGAAACTAGCCCAGGTCTGTTATCGATATTTGTCTATTATTTCCATAATTTAGCCAGATTTGTTTCAGAGACATATCTGTTGTTTTCATTATTAAGCCAGATACATTTATGTTTAAGAGATATTTGTTGTTTTCAAAATTTAGCTACAATGTAGATCTGTTCTAGATATATTCATTATCATTAATATACATGTATCTGTTGTTTTCATAATTTGGCCAGATCTATTCTAAAAATAATAATTTATAATGTTTTGTAATTTAGCAAGATAAGTTGAAGAGATACATGTATATCTTTTGTTTTCAAGATTTAGCCAGATCTGTACTAGAAATATGTGCATATCTATTGATTCCTAAATTTAGCCAGATCTGCTTAGAGATGTATCTATTGTTTTCATAATAAAGCCAGATCTGTTCTAGAGATGTACATGTATCTATTGTTTTCATAATTTAGCCAGATTTGTTCTAGAGATATATCTTTTGTTTTCATAATTTTGCCAGATCTGTTCAAGAGATACATGTATATCTATTGATTCCTAAATTAAGCCAGATCTGTTCTAGAGATATTTTTTGTTTGTTTCATAATTTAGCCAGATCTGCTCCAGAGATATGTCTATTGTTTTCGTAGTTAAGCCAGATATGTTCTAAATATACATGTATATCTATTGATTCCTTAATTTAGCCAGATCTTCTCTAGAGATATATCTTTTGTTTACATAATTTAGCCAGATCAGTTCTAGAGATATATCTTTGTTTTTGTAATTTTGCCAGATCTGTTCAAGAGATATTTCAATTGTTTTCATAATTTTGCCAGATCTGTTCAAGAGATACATGTATATCTATTAATTCCTAAATTTAGCCAGATCTGTTCTAGATATATGTTTTGTTTGTTTCATAATTTAGCCAGATCTGCTCCAGAGATATATCTATTGTTTTCATAGTTCAGCCAGATATGTTCTAAAGATACATGTATATCTATTGATTCCTTAATTTAGCCAGATCTGCTCTAGAGATATATCTATTGTTTTCATATTTTAGCCAGATTTGTTCTAGAGATATACCTATTGTTTTCATAATTTAGCCAAATCTGTTCTAGAGAAATATCTATAATTAAGCCAGATTTGTCCTAGATATATATCCTAGATATAATCATTGTTGTCACTGTTTTAAAATATTGATCTGATACATGCACAGGTAATTGATTGCTACATTTATTTATACATTAATCAGACTTGTTCCTAGAGATATTTATTGTTTCTACAATGTAGCCAGTACTGTATCTTTAATTCATGTTAATTAGGCAATTATTAGGGTTTATGATAATTTGTAGTTGTTGTAAACTTAGTTTATATTTTATAGTTGTGTAATACTTGATACATCTATCTCACAGGGTATATTATTATCAATTGAACCAATGGTAAATCTTTTCTAAAAAAGGATACACAATGTAGCTTATTTGCTGGAGGCTACAGAATTTACAGATACAATAAGTGCAGACCATGATCAGTTTACTCATCTTGGCCATCTGATCATGGTCTGTACCATTCACTATTTAATCTGTAAATATGTTGAAATTTTCCTAAAAATCTTTGGTGGCAGGAGTATCCATGGCCAAGTGGTTAAGGATGTTGACTATAAACCACTGCCTCCAACCCACTCCCTGCTGTAGGTTCAAATCCCACCAGGGACTTTCGATTCTTTAATGAAGCTATCCAGCATGGATGGCTCTAATCAGGTTCCTTCTCATGTTTAAGATAATGCACTGAGGGGCGCATAATGTTTTCTTCTGCCAGTAAAGCTGGAAAGCAGCCATATGACCACTTCTGTGTTGCTGGGAAGTAACACTTAATCAAAAATTACATTAAGCGGGGTAAGGGTTATTATCCATTATAGAATATTTTTATTATAAAGCTCAAAACCAGTATTTGTATGTGTTTGGCCTAGGATAAATTGATTAATTAATCAACCCCGTGTATCAATATATAATATGGATGGCCTAACATTTAATATTGTATGAAACACTGTATGAAATTAATCAATATTATTGCATAATTATTTCTAGAGCTGTTGTTATTCTTGTTGTTTTTTAATCATTATTGTAATTGTTTTTGATGTGTGATATTTTGAGTGTTTATATATACATACGTTTTAGGAATGTCAAGTTATTATTATTTTCTCAAACAGTTTTTGTCAGTTTGACCTTGACCTTTCATCTGACCTTCATGACCGTTTCTAGTACATAATTTATGTAGCTTCCTTTATTGACAGATATTTGTTGTGTAATGGAACATTTCATGCACCTCTACCTTGCAGGTATCACTGGTAGGTTGAGTGAAGGTCACTGAAGCTTAAAATAGATTTTTCCTCATAGTAAGGTCATATAGGTCATGTGGTTGATTTTGTCAAGGTGACATCATGGAGCATCCATTGGTAATACATGTATCAATATTCTTGTTCTTATTAAAACACTGCAATTATTTGCTAGATGCAATTTTGAAAAACAATTGTGAGTTAAAGTGGATTTTTCTTCTCTTATTTGATATTATATACATTTAATTTTGTGCAATATCCTTAAAAGGTGCTTTCCCCGACACTTTAATAATGTGTATTTTTGTTTCCCCTTGTCTACTTTTAGAGGAACAATAATCACATTATCATTTCTTCTTAACAAATTCGAGACAAACTTTTCGATATCCCGATTTCTTGTTTTCTTTATTTATGTAATGAATTGTTCATAATTATACCAATAGGTAGGTACATATTCAATGTCATGTATTTGCCTTCCACAACAGAGCACAACTGAATTAGAAAATAAATAAGAAATACTTATGTTATTGTGTGATCAGGTCAGTAACCAGTTTAACCTCAGTTGACAGATTATTAAACATGCTAGTAAAGTTTCATAATTATACTACTTGCCACTTAGATCATATTTCTGTTATTTATATTGTGTTATATATTATACACAGCAATTTCATGTTTACCTTTATATAAAATAGATGTTTCATATAATGAAACAGTTTCAGTTTTATGTACTGAATGGAATAAATAATTGATCAATTAAGTTTTATGTAAAAAAAAACCAGATAAACTATCAAATATTATAATTGAAAAAAATATGAATGTAATGATTAATTTTTTGAAGTTTGTGTGCTTGTATGTTTTTAGTATGTTAAACAATGACTAAATCTTATCTGCTATCTAAAGGTTTTGTAATCAAGCCGAATTGAACATACAAAATGTATTTGGAAATTTTTGTTGCCTTCTTTTATTATTGTTTTTATTATTTATCAATTTATATTCTTGGGTACAGTGTATTACTTTTGTTTAACTATTCCAATATTTTACTGTTGATTTCATTTTAACAATACAAATAAAAGTGATGCATTCTTAACCTTGTGTTTTTCTTTTATGATTCCATTTCACATGCCTACCTTTTTAAATGTGTTTAATTATTCTTATCTACTTTGCTTTCTTATGCACATAGTAATACATGCAACTTTTCATTTTTTGATAAAAAGGGGTTGTTTAGAATAAAAGTATGTGGGCTATCAAAAAAATGAGTTTCAGAATAAATTTTACAGATGAATTTTTAAAATTATTTTGATAGTGATAAGTGAATCAGGTACTTGCAATTAAATAGAGGATATTTGTTAAGTTCAGTGTAAGATCGGAATATATTTCACCGAGTGAGCACCAAAGGGTATATTTCACGAGTGGCGCAGCCACGAGTGAAATGTCAACTTTTGGTGTTCACGAGGTGAAATATATTTCGATCTTACACTAAACTAAACAAATTTTCTTTTTATTATATGCAAATAAACGTTAAAAAGGACATTTTTACCTAGTACTGAATGCATAGCGCGCCAAATAATTATACAACGTGACGTCATTTACGACGTCACTTTATTAAGTTGGTTTCCAGTTCTGTGTACGCTGGTATTTACCTGAAACAACGTAAGGGGCTTAAATTCAAAACAGTGAAATTATCAAATTGATAATTTCACTGTTTCAAACAGTGAAATTACCAGTTTTAATTCACTGATATATTTCTATAAACCATCGAAAAGCATATAATAAAATTAATAAATTTTAGTCCAATTCCTTCAAGAAACCAATAATCGTGTGTTATGAAAAGAAAAAAAAAACAAAAACATGGTCATGACAGGAGTTGGGCTCGAACTCGTGAGCACCAGGTCTGAGAGGCAGACACCTTATTGATAAGGACTTATCCCACCTGTCAAGCAACATTAGTGTTTCGCTTCAAATCGGGCGTGCAACTTCCAGTGCTACCGTTAAATTTTACAAAATTAAATACATGTATAGGCGGTTCTCTTTTCTGATGAATTAACATATTTTTTGTACAAAAATACACCCATTTCACTGGAAACAGTGTGTTTCTTGATAAAAACGTTTCCTTTTATTAATCGAATCTAATGTCATTTTACATCTAAACTTTTTTTATCAAATTAAATACGAAGCTTCAGTAATGTCTTTGAGTGTCAACGAGGGTATTCAAATAAATTTGAAAGATCTGGTGTCCATAGTAAATACGTCATTTTATTCTTTTATTTTGTCATGCTTTGCATGTGTGCACGTGTCCTGGTGCAACAGGTAATTACATTAGTTTGGTGTTTGCATTTTTTATGTCATGTTTCAGCACAAATTCGGAATGTATTTTCAATAAACAATCTGGTGTCTCAGTCATTTTACATATTCTATCAAAAAGCAAAGATCTTGATTTTCTTGTTCT